GGGAGCGGAGAGGGGGGGCGGGTATATACATACATAATGAGTGACATGTGCACCATCTGAGGAATGGCCATGCTGGAAACTCAGACTTGTGGGGGAAGTGGGGGAAAGGGCATTTATTGAAATCTTAAAATCTGTACCCCCATAAGATGCCAAAATAAAAAAAAAGAAATTCAATCACATAAAATGTGAAATCTTATTATGGGGTTAATGCAATGAATGAGGCTGGCCCACTGGACCTTCCACATCTGTTCTGATCCTTACTGGATTTTGATGCCATCTAGTGGCAGTTGTTGTTCTGGCATAAATTCTGATAGAGAAGATTCTGGGTCCAGCTGTGGCTGACTGGGACTTCCAGGACAGTACCAGTGACTCCCTCTGGGAATCTCCCAATTACTTTGTGGACTTGATCTGGGGAGAGTGTGCTGGGAAGATACTGGGGGCCTGGAGGCTCTCCCTCTGTCTTCTTACTTCCTAAGACAGGGTCATGTATCTCTTCTCTACCTAAGTTATCTCCCCTTCATGACCTCCTGTTGAAGGTAAGAACCTTAGCCTACCTCTGTTTGAGAATGGGGACTGAAAGGAGGAAGGGAGGCAATTGCTAATTGGGTTGTATCTGATTTTCAGCTATTCCAGGTCCAACTGTGTCAGGTCAGATTGTGTTCTGTGTTTTTGATTTATCATCTAATGAAATACACTTAGTGAAACACAGTAGTGAGAATAATGAACTAGAGACATACACAACAGCTTGGATGAATCCTTTCTTTTTTTGGTAGCTAATAACATTTTATTTTATTTTGATCAAGTCTGGGTATTTTGATATTAATCAGCTCAAACAATTATCATTTCCTTGTGTTGGGAATATTTCATATCTTCTCTTCTAGCTATTTTGAAATATACAATAAATAATTATTAACTATAGTCCTCCTACTGTGCTGTGAAGCACTAGAACTTATTCATTTTTTCCCCTTCTTTGAGACATTCTCACTCTGTCACCCTGTATAGAGTGCAATGGTGTGGCGTCATCATAGCTCACAGCAACCTCAAACTCCTGGGCTCAAGTGATCCTCCTGCCTCAGCTTCCCAAGTAGCTGGGACTACAGGTGCAGGCCTCCACACCTGGCTAATTTTTTTTCTATTTTTGGCAGAGACAGGATCTCCCTCTTGCTCAGGCAGGTCTCCAACCCTTGAGCTCAAGTGATCCTCCCGCCTTGGCCTTTCAGAGTGCCAGGATTACAGGTGTGAGCCACTGCGCCCTGCCAGAACTTACTCCTTTTATCTAATGGTAAGTTTGTACCCATTAACCAATCTTTCTTCCTGCTTCCTCTTCCCAGCCTTTGGTAACCATCCTTCTACTCTCTACCTCAATGAGATCAACTTTTTAACCTCCCACATATGAATGAGAACATGCTTTTCTCAAGAGCAAGGCTGCTGGTCCCTGGATTTGGAGGGTGGGAGAAATATCCACCATGTGGTGGGGAGAGTGTCCTGGATTCAAGTCCCTCCCCTCTCCCCAGGCCCTTGCCCCTCCTGTTGCAACAGTTGTGCCTTACAGAGACACACAGCTCCCAGGGCAACGCTGCCCCCGCCCTGCCCGCCTCCAGCTGTACCTTTCCTGTTGATTTGACCCCCTTCCAGACACAGAAGTACACCAGCACCCAGCAGGCCAGCAGACACAGGGTCACCTCCCAGTTGAGGGCCCCTGGAACCTCCAGCCCTCCAGACAGCCGCAAAACTTTGTTCCTAGGGGAGGGAGACTCCATGAGGGCTGTGCCAGCAGGGCACCGACCAAGCCACTGGGATCTGCCCCGAGGGGTCGTGGCTCCTCCCTCCTGCAGCCCTTGGTCCAGCCGGTCCCTCCCGTCCAGTTGGGCAAGGCCTGCAGGCGCTGTGGTGTGCCTGGAGCCTGGGAGCCCCTGGCTGGCGGGAGGCGGTGGGGCGCCCAGCCGAGCCCCATACCCCAGGGCCCCCACCCTATCCCACCCCCTGCCAGGCAAGGCGGGAACCAGGGAAGGGCAGTGACCCGTGTCGCTGAAGGAGCAAGGCGCATGTGAGTCCCAGGGACTGGCCTGGGCGCTCCCTGAGGACAGGCGGGGACTGGGAGTGACTGCTCCGCATCCCGGGGCTCATGTGCGCGCGCGGGGGAGACCCGCGGACCAGACGGGCTTGGCCCAGGGGCGCCCGGCCCCGCTGCCAGAACCCGCCGACGGGGGCCACTGGCGGAAGGAAGGTAGCCGGGTGCCTCAAGTCCTCAGTGGAAGCTGATTCGCACAGGCACACGGGAGAGCCCTGGTCGCGCACGGCTTTTAAGTGCGCAACCTCGGAAGGGTTCCTCAGTGTTCTCCTGACAGGAACCGACAACCAGGGACCGGTCACGGGGGAGGTTGGCTCTGCGGGCATCAGCGTGGCCTTCTGGGCAGGCCCACGGAGCATGGGCCTAGGGTGGACTGGGCGGGAACCAGTCACATGCTCAGCGGGGTCTCCAGAGGCGCAGAGTAGGGCCGTTGGCGCATGCGCTCTGAGGAGCCCAAGGTGCGTCATATGCTACCGGCGAAGCTCAGTTCCTGAGAGAGGCTCAGTCCCTCATTGGTTCAGGCGGGCCTGCCGGGCTCGCTTGCTCCGGTGCAGGCTGGGAGTTCAGGCTGGGCGGGAACCAGTCATGTGCCCAAGTGACCTCAGGGGTCCAGGTATTTGGGCACGTGCATTGGCGGAGCCATGCAGTTCTAAAGGGCAAAGAGCCATTCAAAGAAGCCTAATTGACTAGGTAGCCTACATAGCGTCAAAGGCTTGCAGCAGTGTTCCCTTGACTGGAACAGACCATGTGCTGGTATGTTTGCGCAGGCGCATTAGGGCTACACCGTGATCTAAGGGGTGGAGCTTTGTGAGGGAGCGTTCATTGGCTAGAATAACTATGTGCTCGCCAGCGTCCTCTTGGTGGGAACCAATCACTGGCCTCGAGGCCTCACCCAGTGTGTGTTTGCGCAGGCGCTCTGTGTATCCCGAGGTGCATTGCACGCTGGGGTGCAGTTTCGTGTAGATCCCACAGATTGCCTGCGAGAAGGTGAGAGCGATCAAGATGGGGTCAGAGTCTGAGGGCGGAGGAGCCGTGCAGGCAGTGGACGAAGGCGCAGGTGTGGCGGCAGCTGCAGCAGGCGGGGCAGTTGCAGTGGTTCGTGTCGCCGGCGAGGTCGGGCCCGGTGGTCCTGGTGGTCCTGGTGGTCCTGGAGGCCCAGGAGGCCCTGGAGGCCCGGGTGGCCCTGGGGATCCTGAAGACCCCGATGGCCCTGGCGATCCTGGGGGTCCTGGCGTCGCGGGAGAGGCAGGTGTTGCAGCTGGTGGCCTCCTTCAGATTGAGCGTGCACCGCAGGTGCCAGGGCCAGGTGGAGATGCTGCACCTGCAGCTGGAGGCCCAGGTAACCAATCGCTCTAGTTATATACTATTTGAGAAGCCCCCAGTGGTCTGGGTGGCCAGGAAATGGTATGGGGGTGGTTTGAGGGTAGGGTGCACCAGGCGGGAGGGGACTAAAACCACAATCAGCCTGGGATGATTGGTTGTGGTGGTGGTGGGGAACACCGGCGTGAGGGGAGTGAGGGAGTGGGGGCCATGCTGTCTAGGGAGGCCTAAGGGTATGGGGTGGGAGGTGGTGGCAGAGGCTGTCTTGGCGTGAGGAAGAGGACTGAGTCACAGGTTAAATCCGTAGTGTGGATGGGGCCCTAACTATATCTCCACCAGCACCCTCACCGTACCTTTCCCGTCGCCCATGGAGGGGGAGATCGCCAGCCAGTTCCTGACCCCAAATGCTGAACTCCAAGGTCCAGTGCAGGAGGAGCTCAATGTGGACGGCAGCGTCCTGGCGGTGACAGTTCTAGAGTGTGCTGGGGAGGGTTTGGCGGCAAGTGGCTAGGGCCAGTCTCAGGCCAAGGGACGCCGTCATGAAGACAGGGAGTTACGTTAGGGTTAGGTCTAAGGAAGGGGTGTGGTGGTCTGGGTATGTAACTGAGTCGGGAGGCTAAGCAAGAAAGGTGTCTCTGACTTGATTTTCTCTTTCCTTCCCTTTTAGATGATTGACTGCTGAAGACCCTAGCGAACTCCAAATTTCTGTCACCTTCTATCTTGACCAGCTTTCCCTGGTGGTTCAGACCATACAGCGCTTTGTGCCCCCATTTTTTTCGCTAAGCCTCAGCAGGGAAAAGGGGGCTAAGTCTAACCTCAAGTCCCATCTTTGGTGGGTCCTTCTCTAGGACAATGATTCCTGCAATAGTTGCCAATTTACTGTGGGGGCCTAATTTTGTTCTATACTGACCCTTGTGCCTCAAGGTCCATTTATTTTGTTTGGTAATGTTTGTTACTGCAGAAAATAAATCTGAGATACTATTCCAAGTCTTAGTTTCTTTTCATCTATAGCACCTCCAGATATTATTGCCATTATCCTTGGGTTGCCAGGGAGGTTCTGGGATTCAGATATTCAAGTAGTACAAGTTAATTGAAGACAATTTAGGAAACTGAAGAAAAATAAAATCAGTTGGGTCGAGTCATTCAGAATTAACCATTGTGAACATCTTGGAATATTTTCTTAATAATTGCATTTATATAATAAATGTATAGCACCAAAAACATGAGAGTAGGAATTTTGAGCTTATTAGCCTTGTTTCAGATATGTGAAGTGCTGGGACAAGTGGTTAAGTGTTTAGGGTGAGAGATTAGCTCCCTCTAAAATATCTTGTATCCTGCAACCTTCCTAAACTCACTAATTAGTCCTAGTGGCTCTTTCCTAGATCTGGTTGGATTTTCTACAGAATCATGTTGTCTGTCAATAAAGACAGTTTTACTTCTTTCTTTCCAATCAGTACCTTTTATTGGTTGATTTCTCTGTTCATAATGGGTCGGACTTTCCTACTTTACATACCTGTTAGTTTTAGATTGGATGACAGAGGTGGTGAATTTTACCTTGGATGCTGGTTATTTTTCTATTCATAAATATATTCTTGAGCTGTGTTCTTGGATGCTATTAAGTTACTTAGAAACAGTTTGATCCTTTTGAGTCTTGCCTTTAGGATTTGCTTACTGGGAATAGAGCAGATTTTAATGCAGGAATGATACAATTGATAATCTCCAGAGTTTGGCAAGGCTATAGTTGGAAACAAGGACTCTTACACACTGTCAGTTGGAGTGGTAGTAAAATATATGTGGACATTTATTTGGCATTTTGTATTAAAGATGGGCATACCCTTTGACATACCTTTGAGAGTATGTCATAGAGAAACTCTTGAAAATGTAAATGAGACAATTGACCAGGATGTTAATTATACCATCATAAAAATTATTAGCATGTAAATGTACATCAACTGGGGAAAGATTTAATAAGTCACTGTACAGCTGTCCTGGTGGAAAATTATGAAGTAGTTAGAATATGGTGGATAGTTGTGTACTAGCATAGAAAGAGATTAAAACAAGTCAAAGATTTTTGCACATTCTTGTTTTTGCAGTGTGCTCCCACCATGTGAAATGTGAGGATAAACACAGTTACTACCTGGAATGAGCCACCTCCACTGTCAGGAATGCTCACTGTTGGAAAGAAACTTTCACCTTTTAAATTTCAGATTTACATGTTTAAATATTTTCATTAAGCATGTATTGTTTTTTAAACAATTTTTAATTTATATGTAATATTTATATATCTATGAGAGTGTGTGTAATATTTTGATGTATGCATACAATGTTGCTATAGTTTAGATGTTTGTCCCGCCCAAACCTCATGTTGAAATTTTATCCCCAATGTTAGAGGTGGGGCTTAATGGGAGGTGTTTGGGTCATGGGGGCAGATCATTCATGAATAGCTGGGTGCCTTCCTGGTGGTGATGAGTGAGAGCTGTGTTGGGTCCTATGAGAGCTAGTTGTTAAAAAGAGCCGGATACCTCCCCTGTCTCTCTCTTGCGTCTTCTCTCACCATGTGAACTCTGCACATGCTGGCTCCCCTTCGCCTTCCACCATGAGTGTCAGCAGCCTGAGGTTCTCACCAGATGGCTAGTCTTCCAGCAGAATTGTAAGCCAAATAAACCTGTTTTCTTTATAAATTACCCAGCCTCAGGTATACGTTTATAGCAACACTAAATTGACTAAGACAAATGTGTAATGGTCAAATCAGGGTATTTAAGATGTCCATCACCTTAAATGTTTATCATTTCTTTGTGTTAGGAACATTTCAAATCTCTTCTAGCTATTCTGAAATATACAATATAGTGTTTTTAGCTATAGTCCCCCTACTGTGCTGTAGAATTCTAGAACTTATTCCTTCAAACTGTGTGTTTGTACCCATTAACCAACCTCCCTTCATTCCCCACTCTACCCTTCCCAGCCTCTGGTAACTATCATTCTACTCTCTACCTCCGTGAGATAAACTTGTTATTTATTTATTTTTTTGAGACAGAGTCTCACTCTGTTGTCTGGGCTAGAGTGCCGTGGCATCAGCCTAGCTCACAACAACCTCCAACTCCTGGACTCAGGTGATCCTTCTGCCTCAGTCTCCCGAGTAGCTGGAACTATAGGCATGCGCCACCGTTCCTGGCCAATTTTTTATCTATATATTTTAAGTTGTCCAGCTAATTTCTATTTTTTTTTTTAGTAGAGATGGGGTCTCGCTCTTTCTCAGGCTGGTCTCAAACTCCTGAGCTCAAACGATCCGTCTGCCTCGGCCTCCCAGAGTGCTAGGATTACAGGTGTGAGCCACCGCGTCAGGCAGAGATAAATGATTTAAGCTTCCAAGTATGAGTGAGAACATGTTAAATTCCTTAGTGCCTGGCGTTCATTTCACTTAACATAATGGCCTTCAGTTCCATCCATGTTGCTGCAAATGAGAAGATTTCATTCTTTTTTATGGCTGAATAGTATTACATTGTCTATATATGCCACATTTTCTTCATCCACTCGTCTGTTTTGTTTGTTTTGTTTGTGTGTTTTGTTTTGTTTTTTGAGACAGAATCTCACTCAGTTACCTTGGCTAGAGTGCCGTGCATCAGCCTAGCTCACACAACCTCAACTCCTGGCTCAAGCAATCCTCTGCCAGCCTCCTGAGTAGCTGGGACTACAGCATTGCCACCATGCCGGCTATTTTTTTCAATAAATTAGTTGCCAATTAATTCTTCTATTTTTAGTAGAGACAGTCTCGCTCTGCTCAGGCTTTTGAATCCTACCTTGAGCGATCGATCTCCAGCCTCGGCCTCCAGAGTGCTAGTTACAGGCATGAGCCACCACGCCCGGCTCATCTATGAAGACTCATGTTGATCCCTATCTTGGCTATTGAATAGTACTGCAATAAACATGGAGGTGCAGGTATCCCTTTGAAAAAGGATTTCCTTTCATTTGATAATAACCAGTATGGGGGGATTGCTGGTCATATGTAATTTATTTTTAGTTTTTGAGGAACTTCCATACCTTTTTCCATAGTGGCTGTACTAATTTTATCCACCAACATAGTACAAGGGTTCCCTTTTCATCTCCTCACCAATACTTGTTATCTTTTGTCTTTTTGACAATTGCCACTCTATCTGGGTTAAGAATCTCATTGTGTTTTGATTTGCCTTCCTTGATATTAGTTTTTGAGCATTTTTCATATACCTGTGCCATTTGTTGTCCCTTTTTTATTAGCGTATTATGGGTACAAGTGTTGAGAGTACACATATGCCCCATCCCCCCCCCTCGAGTAACAGCTTCAAGCGGTCCATCCACCACAGGTTCACTCTCACCGTTTGGGATATATAGCCATCCTCTCGCCCCCAACCCTCCTACCCCGATAAATGTTTCTCTATATGCCACTTAGTGTTGAGCGTTTAATACCAATTGCGGGAGTAACATGTGTGGCTTTGTTTTACATTCTCCGATACTTGCTAGTAGAATGGTTCCAACTCTATCAGGAATAACAAGAGGTTGACTATACACCATTGTTCTAAAAGCTAGTATACTCCATATACTATACACATTTATTAATCACCATGAATGAGGGCATTTGGTTGTGTTTCCATAGCTTCAATGTGAATTGTGCGCTATAAACTTTCGATGAGGTGTCTTTTTAAAAGGACTTTTGATCTTTTGGTAGTGCCCAGTTGGAATGCTTGGACAAATGGTAGAATCTACTCGACCGTTATGGTACTCTCATTTGCTTTCACAGAGGGTTGAACATTTCAGTCCCCACCAGCAGTGTAGAGTGTTCCTCTCTTCTCGATCCACCCAGCATGTGTCGGAGACTTTTTTTAATTAGGCATATAGGGTACAATTGTAAGGATTCAATAAATGCCCATCCCCCTCCCCCCACAAGTCTGATCCCATATGACCATCAGATGGCACATCCCTCATATGATGTAAGACCCGCCCCCCCCCCTCCCCACTCCCAATAACTAGACTGTAGTTACCATGTGCCACTTAGGTGCTGCTCATGAATACCAATTTGCTATATATGGGGCTGTTTCCATTCTTGAACTTCTTAAGTATGGTTCCACTCTAACCAGAAAATAAGAAGTAACACCGTTTTTTCTTACACTAAAGTACTTCCATGGTATCTGATAATACCCTGTTATAATCCATTCTTGGGATTGGGCACCTTGGCGTTTTCCACAAGCCTTGCAATTATGAAGTTGTTGCTAAACATTCGGTCAGGTTCGTTTTTGTAGAAGTGTCTTGAATCTTGGTAAGAGCCAGCAAGGAAATCTGGATCAAAAGGTAGATTCACGTTTACGCTTAGATGGAGACCTTTTTCATAAAGCCACCCGGAGTTAAGTGACCATTGTAGTTTTGATTGCGTTCCTGATGATACAGATGTGAACATTTTCATGTGTGGTTGGACCATATCTGCTTCCTTTGAAATCTCATTGCCTTTGCCATGTCAAGGGTGTTGGATTTTTCTGCGTGCATTTTCCTAGTTCGTAAAATAGATCTAGTTATCAGCCTTACAATTACCTTCAAAATGTTCTCATCTGGGTGCTTTGGTCTCTGACAGTTCTTTGGCTGTGTAGAACTTAATTTGACCAGCGTCCCATTTGTTATTTTGTTACTGTGTGTTGCCTTTGGGTCTTCCATAAATTCTCCTAGCCATGTATACGAAGCGTATTTCCCCTTTCCTATAGATCAATAGTTTTCACACCTAAGCTCAAGTCTGTTACCAGCGTGAGTGATTTTGTGAGAGTGAAGGGCTGTGGTCTGTTTCATCTTCAATTGCATCCAGTTCCCGCCCATATTGAAAAGTGTCTTCCCAGGTAGTTTGTCGTGTCGAGATAAGTTTGGCTATATAGGATGGTTTAATCCGAGGTTCCTCTGTTGTTCCACTGTCAACCCTGTTCTGTCCAGTAAAAATGTTTAATGACGAGTAGCCTGTAGTCATCTGAAGTTGA